CCGTTATCCGAGCGGCGGGCTTTAACCCGGCACGATCGCTCGAGACGCTCGCCAGCGATGGACCGTCGTTATCTATCCATCGCCGAAGAGAAAAGAGTTACATTATCGGACAAATAACACCGGGGACTGCTACGAATGGCCGCGCGCGCATCCTCGAGATCGCCGCGCCGGCGTGAGATTTTCGGTAGCTCCCCGGTTTGCTTCCGGCAAATATTTTCACGTTATGTGTATCCGCGATTTTTCTCGAAACGTTGCTCGTGTCGAGAGCCACTTCCACTTGATCTCAGGCCAGTCCATCAAATAAATCTCAATCTCTCCGTTTTTCTCTCTTTATATCTTCCATATCTGTCGATCACCGAGCGGAGAAGAGCCAATTAAAAGCTGATACTCGCGGACGTTTTCGACGCGCAAGAAAGGTCTCGCATCTCCCTGCCAGCTCCGCGGATAGAATTCCATCGCGAATTTGTCGGAAGGATTCTGCATATTATCCGCGCGTTACGCGCGAGAAGAGGAGCAATCTGCGTGGAATTTTCTATGCGCAGTGCGCTGCCGTTTTTCATATTTCCAACCGCGTGTTATTTTGGTAAAGCACCCCAGAGGCGTAGAATAAATACGACGCCGAACAATTCAATACAGGGGTCCGCTCGCGCGATTTGCACGAAACCAGATACGCGCTCGCGCGTGCGACGCCGCGCATATTTGGCCAAAAAAAGAGAGAGAGAGAGAGAGAGAGAGAGAGAAACAGAGACAGGATGTCGCGCGGATTCGAGTGTCCCGCAGAAATGAAAATGCTCGACGCGGCTCGATAATTGCTCGCCGTGTTGCTTTTGCTAGATGCGCGCGCGATCGCTCTATGGAGGTGCGATCGTGAGCGCGATCGGAAACCGCTAACCAATCATCCGGGCAATTTCGCTCGGGCGGGCGACGGCGCATGGGAAATGCAACGAGCGTGCAGCAACGCGGGGGCCGTTTAAAAATCCATTTCGTCAAGATAATGTCGATCGACCGCCGCGCTCGCGGCGAAGGGGAAAGAACCGGGACGAAGAAGAAGGACAGAAAGGGAGGCGGATGAAGGAAGCGGCCGCGTTAAAAGGGAAACGAGCGAGTACACGACATTCTCACGACGACATTATGCCATCAGGTGTACGAGCTATGCATCGGGTAGCTGCACTACGGAGAATCGACGTAGATCGACGTTGGCGAGAAATATGAAAATTCATGCGTAAAAAGAAAATAATCGGACGATTCGCGATGTGTGTGTCGGTATGCGTGCGTGCGCTACACCGCGCGGGTATATATCCGCGTAATTACACCGAAACGAACAAATCTGTCAAGAGGTAATCAAGCGGCAGGATTACACACGAGTTTCGTTGCGCGAATTGTCATGATTGTCGAGAGCAAATGCAAGGATAATTGAGCCCAGCATAAAAATCATGCCGGATTAACGGTTACGAGAGGCGACCGGCGCGCGCTCGTTTTGGCACAATAAACATTTTGACAAATATATTTTGTGAATATAACGTCAACATTTAATTAGAGACAATTCTTTGACCTCGAAAAAATCTCTCTCTCTCTCTCTCTCTCTCTCTCTTCGGTGGACAAAAGACTCGCTGCCGAAAGGATTCGGACGTGGCTCGTACGCTCCGAATGGCACATGCGAAGCAGCCTCCTTGCAGCATCCCTTGCGAAGAAGAAGAGGGTGGATGCGGTTGCTGCGCGAGGACGCACGTATTCTACGAATTTCGAAGCGCGGCTGCTGCGGCTGCATCGCCCGGTTGCTGCATATTGCGTGTTGCCGCATGCACGCGCGTTTATATCGAGCGTGTTCACAACATGTGCGCGCAATCCGGCGAAGCGCGGCGGGTGCGCGATGTATGCCGATGTAAGATTTATTTCGAGATTACGCTCCGTTCCGGAATGTCGCGTTTCCTCTCTCTCTCTCTCTCTCTCTCTCTCTCTCTTGCGCGCGCGCGCGTACGACGATCGTATTCGTCGATGTAATCAGCAGCTCTGTCACCGATATGAATATCACAACCGCGACCGTATTGTAATCCGGCGGCGCGACGCGATCGTAGATTCCACGTTCGCAATCGCGCGAGAAGAGACGCAAACGCGATTTCGCGGATTCGCGACGAAACGAAACGACGAGCGCGCACCACCGCGGGAATTCTTAACGCGCGGTCCTTGGAACGGGGCTCTCTTTTCCTTTTTTATTCCCTCCCCCGTAAATCGTTCCCGTTCCGACGATGGCGGCGATAACAACAACGACGACGACGCAACGAAGCGACGATGTACACAAGTATTCCGATAATATAATTAACGACATACCGTGCTGCTCGCTTGCCTCTCGTCCTGCTCGGACATTTCTCGCATTTTCTCGCGCTAGAGTCGCCGGTACGATTTAATTCAGTCTCAGGCTTTCTTCTTGTTGCTATTCAATCAACGGACTGGCGTAAACCGTCTTTACGATCATCGAGGGCATGTTTTCCTGCGATTATTTCTCGGGCGGTCGGGAAGAAGACGAGAAGGAACTATTCGTACTTCTTCGCTGATTTCTCGCGAGGCAGCCAAGACTTTGTGTTTTTTGCGATGCGCGCTAGACCGTCGATTTTCCCGTCGATCTAACCCGCGTTTTATTAAAGTCACGTTAATTAAAAGTGGTTTTCCTCCCCTTCTATCATTCTTCCTTTCTTTCTCTCTCTCTCTCTCTCTCTCTCTCTCTCTCTCTCTCTCTCTCATCTGAAAAATAATATTCTTCTCATTTCGGCGAAAATCGATACCTCGGGAAATCAAAGGAAAATATCGAAAGAGAGAGAGAGAGAGAGAGAGAGAGAGAGAGAGAGAGAGAGAAAGAAGAGCGCGTATAATGTTTGTCCATCTCCGAGCGAAACGATCGCTCGGGAATCAATGCCACTTTGTTTATCGACGTGCATTCTCTCTCTCTCTCTCTCTCTCTCTCTCTCTCTCTCTCTCTCTCTCGTGGTTCTCACCGGTCATTTCCCGTATCGCGCAACTAGATTGAATTAACATGCAATTACCATTTTGCAGTGTTACGCGATGCCGACGCAAACCGATACGCAACGCTCGTAATTAAAATTATACATGAGCGGACTATTATAAATATTCCGCTCGCACGTGGAAAGATACCTACGCCGACGAGAATGGCGAATGATATTTCTGCCGGCAGACAGGCCGGATAAGGTTGTGAACGAAGTGGAGCGACGCGTTCCGCTCGTGTATCACATGTCATTATCGAATATTAAGTAATTCTGAAACATGTTCGTCTCTCTTTGCGCCACGAACATGCGGCGGCAAATTATAGTATGAGATTCTCCATTCAGATTCGATGGAATTTGCAGGATTAATACGGAGCCAAAGTTTCGACACGGATTTGCGCGCAGCGTAATTATTACAGCCGATTGTAAGCTGCCGCTGCGAATATTACATGGACATTCGCGAGAATATCCGTGCTGCGTGATCGAAGTATTTATCAATGACAGCCGCCGCGGCTCTGCAATTTCTTTGCAATTTTCCTCGGCGCCGTCCAAGGGAACGTCCATTAAATTAGCCCCACTTTATCATTTAAACGCGAACGGGCTTGCACACAGAGTTACGTTTCAAGAATCGCTTTAAACTTGCTTCTTCGCTCTCAAACATCAAAATCCTATTTACGATGTAGTGATATATAAATGACGTTATCCCATTACGTGATAGGACGCAGTTATCGATTGTTGCTCTCGCTGCGGCTCAAATATGACTTAATTCCCATTCTAGTGAAGCTAATTAATTGAATCGGAAAGCTACTACGAAATTTCACGTTCGCACTGTAAATGAAAGCATCGAACGATTTACGCAGTCGCGTTATTAAATTAGTCCGGAAATTTGCCCCATATATTTTTTAGCCGAATTACAATAAATATTTAAAAGTCATCGCGGAGGAATTTCGCATTAATATTAAACGAGAGCAGCCTATATAACTCGTACGTCCGCGTTGCTAATTTCACGACGGAATTTGTGTAATTATAATTAATTAAAATAAATTGAAGAGTTGTCGCGCACGCGAATTTTACATTCTTCCCGCCCAAATGGCTCCGTGAATAGAATTAACGGACGAAATTTTGATGAGACGCATTGTACATTATTAATGCGCGTTCCCTTTAATGTTTACATTCATGCTAATTAAGTTTATTTTGCTTCGAGCGCAAAATTTATTTTGCACTCGTTACCTGATCTACGAGAAACGGTTGTTCCGCATTATGCAAATTCCAACAGCCAATGGCTGTGAGACGGACGCACGCGCATTCGTTAACGAGATAAAAATCCCGCATCCTAATCATCGCGCTCCGTTATCGTTCTCGAATCAACCAAGTCTCGCGCACGCATCGTACGCGGGACTTCGATCGAGCCGGCTCTGTTGCGCGAAAGAATGAAGCGTGCCGTAAAAATTCCGGAGTAGCGCACAGACGGCCGTTACTATGCGCTTTGACTCCGCTCCGCCGAAAATGCAGATTTCATTAAACGCCGGTGCGCGTTTATATCCGCACATTATTGCACCGTGTGCGCGCTCCGGTATCTGCCGGTTCATAAATAATGCTGTGTCAAAGCGACGTTTATAAATTACCAGCGATGTCACGCTCGATACGCTCGCGGCGGTCGGCCTTTTTCCACGACCGTTCGCGTGCTCGGGATGTATTAAAAGACCCGACATTGCTATCGCACACACACACACATACACACACACACACACACACACACGGACACATGCGTAGGCTCACACTGAATATTATGTCGAAAATAATTTATTGTTATTTGTTTATCGATCATTGTTATAGAATCGTGCCAAATTCAGAGCTAGAATTTGGGAGTTTGAAGCGCCATTTTCACGAACCGATGATTCTCCCGCGAAGTCAAGCGGGATAGAAAGAAAAGAAAAACGAAAACAAAAAAGAAAGAACCGACAAGCATCTTGCTGAACGTTCGATCTGCCATTCTGATTGCAGTCGCGCCTATCGCCAGTTTGAAGATGGGCTCCACCTTGAACCCGAAGGACATCAAGGAGGGCTCGGACGTTTACTTCGAGTGCAACGTCAGGGCGAATCCCAGGTCGTACAAGCTGACCTGGTTCCACGAGGTAGGCGCTATATCAACTACTTCTTTTTTTGCTCAAACGGACAGATCTGCGGTCGCGTACGCTCGTAAATCGCAAACGATTCGCAGGCCAAGGACTATGCACGAGAAATCCACGGTCGACGCGGGATTACGCGCTCGTGCATAAAGATACATCGTGCCCTACGATTGTACGTTGAATCTCCCGCGCGTGCATGCTCTCGCGAACACGAAACGTCAGATCTACGCAATTTTGCAAAATTCCTCAAGAACGTTGCTCCCAACGACAGATCTGAAAAATCTTCCTCGCTCATTTCTACGAGAATTATGAAAATGATTCGCCATCGTAGAAAAGTGAGGAATTGAAAGCATGTATTTCTTCCGCAAGTATTGCTTCCTCGAGCACTTGAAACAGCTTAGCCGAGAAGCTGATCGATAATGTTTGCTCAATTATCTGAATATTATCTCAATCATCACGGGCGATTAATTCTCCTCGAACGAGATACGCAACTCGCGAGCGAGCGCGATCCGTCAGGTCATAATCGACCTGGACCTGGTGGAATCTGTCTTAGTTGCGATCGACCTGCCGGGCATAGAGGGCTCGAGCATCTTCAGCGTGACCCTTTAACCTGTCCTAAATTGCGCGAGATACGTGTGACCGTTGCCGACGATGAGATGCTCGCGTATAGCGGCGTGCAATGGTGCAACGCTATTGTTTGTGTACCGAGCGACGCGATCTTGTCGGCGGCTTTTGCAAATTCCGCTTATTAACAATCCAACTTCCGCCGCGGCATCAATTTCGAAGGGACAAAAGTGACGGGATAAACGCGAGCACGCGCGCGTTTGTCTATTTAGCGCGCACGAGCGCACGCACGCACGCACGCACGCTCACGATTGCGAACAGCCACCGGGTGGAATTTCTGAGGCGATTTTACCGCGGCTATTTACGCGCGTCCTAATGAAATATCCCCTAATTAGTACGCCTATTCCGTCCGGCATTAACATCGGGCTCATCTGCCTACGGCGCTATTCGACGCATGCGGCATTAGCCGAAATAGATTACGCGAATCATCGCGCGCGGATGAGTAGCGCGCGACGCGACCATTCTCGGTCTGCTTGAAATATAAAAATAGAATAAAAATATGAGGCTTGTCCCAGTCTGTGTATAAACATACATACAAGGTGTCTCATAAGCAATGTTGCAGAGGAGGCTCATGGAGACATAGAGCGGTTTCGGGCAAACATACAAGTTCCATGCCGCTTTGCGAGATTCGCGATTATTATCGAGATATTAATGACAGAACTCTGAGGAACAGGAGCGCGTCGACATAGATGACTGGAGAAGCGTTGCGGCCATTTTGACAAAGCGCGGCCCAGTCGATCCCAGCAACTGTTGCCGGTGCGCGGCGAGGGGAAGGACAACGCGTAGCTATTCGTTTTTCATTTCGCCGCTCCTACGTTTCGCCGCAATAGTTGCTAAATCGATTGGGCCGCACTGTGGCCCGAGAGGCTGCGACGCTTCTCCAATCATCCATTTCGGCGCGCGCTCACTCGTCAGACTTCTGTCTGACGATTGATTAATACACTCGATAATTATTGCGAATCTCGCAAAACGGATTCGCAAATAGGACTCTTATGCTTGTCTTAACCCGCTCTATGTCTCCACGAGCTCTGCAACATTAGTTATGAGACACCCTGTACGTAGCGAAAGAAGGAAAGAGAGAAAGAAAGAAGGAGAAGGAGGAAGAGAAAAACAGTGCGACTGAATATCCGCAAAACGTCATGAAAATATAGTTTTCCGAGATGTACGGCAAATTTGTGCGCACATCGGACTTTTGAACGGTCGTTACCCGCAAATTTCGCGAAATTCAGCGCTGCCTTTGTGTACACGAGTTCGATCTTCAACGCGTTGATCAAGAATACGCGCGTGAATGTTCTCGTCATGGAAATCTTCGGGACGATGAAAAGAAAGATCGGGCCGGAACGGTTTGCCGCAGCGAACTGCTATTTACAGGGAGAAGAATCGCCAAAGTTGGCAAGATGAGATCTTAGCCGCGAATAATCGCGGCGATCAGAGAAAGAGAGAGAGAGAGAGAAAGAGGGGGGGGGAGGGGTGTCTGTGACCATTCGCAATTCCATTGAAACATTCTTCGACTTTCCTCGCTCGTTTTAAATCTGCGGATGACATCTCGCGGACTCGCGTACTTATGAATCCGAACGACCACTCAAAGCGAGCGTCTTTTCTCACAGGTAATCGCCGGTACTCGGCGCAAACGATCGCGTTACTCGCAGCGAAACATCGATGTAGCTCGTTTCTTTCTACACGGAGAACCGCCCCCGTTGTATCCGCAATGAAAGAACGAGAGAGAACGACGATGAAGAAAATCCCGCTTCTCCTTCCGTCGTTCAAGACGAACGGCCATTCTTATGGAAGGGCACTGTTTACGCGATATATCCCCGCCCCCCCTCTCTCTCTCTCTCTCTCTCTCTCTTTCGCTCAGGACCGATCGTCGAAAGTATCGCCCGTGCAGATTCGTTCTCATCTTTGGTCACTCGAGGACCGTGAAAGTTAAACCTCTTAAGCGGGATTACATCCTCCATCATTTTCTTTCGCTTTCCCCCCGACCCTCTCCCTCCCGCTCTCTCAGTCTATGTCTTTTCCTCGAGATGGTGAAATCCTGCGCGAGCGTTTCCGAGTTTACTCGCTACGACGTCGTTCCGCTCTTACGACGTCGAGCGACGTGATGCGTTGTCGCAGCTGCAAATCTACATTGTTTTTCGAGCAAGTTACCAGTTAATCCTCGACAAGGCCAATTACCACAGAACTTGCCGACTGTCCTCGCTCGAGGCAATCGCTACTAGACAAACTCGTTAGATATCGCAACGATATCGTCGCGTCGGCACGAGCCGATCGTTGACCGATCGCGCTGATTCGACGCTGATCGTTCGGAGAGCTCAGAGCTAAGCAGTGGGAGTAACATAATGTGTAAATATTTTCCGAGAATCTGTCTGACACTCAGGAGATGCACTTCACGACTCGCTATTGTCTCTCCGAGAGAAATAGAAAGAGGAAGCGCTGGGAGAAGTACTTGCAAAAATTGACGCAAGCAACAACGCGAGAAAGAAGTTCTCACGAGAACGTCGAGCTCGTTCAACGCGCTCGAGACCCTGCGGGATACCCGCGGAACCTCGGTAAGCCTCTTAAGGGTTAACATAACTCACCTCGATGTAAAGAGAAACATATACGGAATTGCGCGACTCTCTCTCTCTCTCTCTCTCTCTCTCTCTCTCTTTCAGATAGGAAGCAACTTCCTACCAGCTGCTTGCTCCCTTTTCTCTCTTACCCTCCCCCCTCCTCTCTCTCTCTCTCTCTCTCTCTCTCTCTCTCTCTCTCTCTAGCTCTCTATTTCCCTGTCTTTTACGCGTACTCTTAACTTCGGACAATTTCGCGGATCGTTTGTCTCCGTTCCAGCAGCGCAACGCTATTGCATATTTAAACGAAAAGACGAACGTCCATCGTACGAGAGGAAGAATGTTGACTGTCCTCTTTAAACTTATAAGAGGCAGGACGAAGGATCCGACACAAAGAAGGCCCGTCGCTCCTCTCGCGGCCGCCCTTACGGAGCGATTTTCTCCCTCGGATAGTCGTGTCGCGCGCGAGCGAGCGAGCCGCGTACGAGCCGGAGGGAACGGGAATTTTTTGAAGGGGCAGGATACCGTAACGCGACTCCGGGGAATTTCAGACAGAATTTCGCGAATTATTTATCGTCCCGGTCGGATCCTGTGCCGCCACGCCGCGCCGGGAGCGACGCGACGGCCAGGAGGGAGAGTTGGCCAGAAGAAGGAGAAGGAGGAGGAGGAGGAGGCGGCTTGTGTCGGATAAACGATCTGGCGAATCGCGCAAGGAAATCGAGGAGCGACGTTTCGGTGTCGCTCGTGCGGCACCGTCGTGAATCTCCTTCCGCCATGCCGTCGTGAATCCTAGAGGGGAACTTTTAATTGGACAACTTTTACATAGAGGAAACGAGCGAGCGGCGGTAATTATTTTGAATTGAAGATCTTCGCGTCTAGAAATACGGGATGGGGGAGACAGCTTCTTTCCGCTTTAGGGAGGAAATGATTGGAAAAATGAATCGCACGCTTCCTCGCGGCTGTCCTCCGGTTTGTCGCTCAAAGCTGCGTTTGATCCTCGCTCGCAGCTCGCAAGAATCGGTTATTACCGCGCTATATGTTCTTGCGTATATACATGATGTACATGTGAGCTTTGATCAAGAAGTTTATGCAATTTTTTAAATTACCGTGATAATTTGTCCGATTGATAAACTTTCTTTTTGTCACGTTGATGCACCTGTCCTTGACATTTGTCTCAATGTGTAGCCATATTCGTCCCGTACTTTAGATTTGACAGCCAATTAAGGAAGTTGTGTCTTTGTATATTCAGCGATTTTTTTTTAATTCTTTGCAATGAGCGATCAAGGAATATATATTAAAATTTGTTTACGAGCAGCACATCAATCATCGAGATGAAAAAGTGGAAAAAGTTAAGGAAGAAAAAATTCCTTCATAACCGCCGGATCACTATTAGAGAAGTTGCTGAAGGTATCTCATGCGGTTCATGCGAAACAATTTTCTCTGATGTTCTGAGCATGAGAGTGGCAGCGAAATTCGTCCCGAAATGGAACTTGAATATTAAACAAAAGCTACGTCGTAAAGAAATCGCTGAAGAATGATAAATGAAGATCACCTTTTTTCCCTTCCCAAGGATAAGAAAACCATGAGACGATAACGTTTTGCGACCATTGAAGACCTAAAGCAAAATTGCTGGAGGAGCTAACTTGCATTTCAGAAGTATTTTGAGAAGACTCGAAAAAACATAAATATTTCTTTGTGATTTAAAAAACTGCATAAATTTTTTCATCAAACCTCGTATATAGTTATTCGCTATTTCTGCGCGCTCGCGGCGATTTAAGAGCTCGACCCGGGTTACGATGAATTTTCGAGGGCGCGATTGCATACTCAGGGAGG